AGAATGAGACTTACAGGTAATTTTTTGCCGTTCAGAGACACTTTAACTCCCTTGCAGGAGCCAGCTACATCATATGCTCTGCGGGTAAGAAGTGCTACAATATCTTTGTCCAGTTTCTCCATCTTAAACTTGGACAGGTCCGGCTGGAATGTCACAGAGGTGAAGTCATCTCCATCAAAAAACTTAATCTTGGGCTCGGAGGATTTGGTCATGTTGTTCTGCCACGTCTGAGGAGGAAATGATAACATACACATAGCTGGTATTTAGACATGGTCATGTGCAGGAGTCTTAAACCTGGACCCCCTTTGCTGTATTAAGTGAACCTGAAAATCTTAATGTGAAAACATTTGGTGTCTTAATAACTGTGCTTGTAAAACCCAGACAAGTGGACTTCCTTATGTTTGTAAAGATGTTTCACCTCTCACCCAAATCACTTCATATGATTGTGACCACTTGTCACAATCATATGAAAACAGCTCTGATTTCAGTGGGCAAGATTTCAGATATTAGTCTATAAACAAGGAAGACTGTGACCTTGTGGCAAAAAGAACCAAAGCACATATAAATTTTCTACCTATATTCTTTTCTAGCTAATATATAGAGATAGATAAATAGAGATAGAGCTAGATAGAGATAGATAGATAGATAGATAGAGCTAGAGATAGATAGAGATAGATAGAGATAGAGAGAAATAGAGAGAGATAGATAGATAGAGATAGATAGAGATAGAGAGATACAGAGATAAAGAGATAGATAGATAGTAGTGCTACTGAAATGAAATTCTCACTAGCCGTCTGTAATGACCCATCCAATCCACACATGATGTGACCACAGATGTCCTTAAATTAAGTTGTAATATGAGAAATGAAACACGGAAAAGAGTGTTGAACACATGAAGAAAGGGAGGTGTAAAAAGGCATGGACAGTCATGACACCAGCAGAAATCTGTCACTAATTAGACAGCAGTCCTGCAAATTAATATCAGCTGGTTCAGTCCCAACTGATGGCCAATAAAAACATTTCTCATTACCAACATGTAACACCAGAAACATCTCATGATGGGTGAAATTAAGACCTTCACAACCTTATTGTTGCAAAACCTGCTCATGGCATTGGTTACAGAAGAGTTTTTAAACTACTGAAAGTTCCAGGGAGCACTGTTGGGGCCATAATCTGGAAGTGGAAAGATCCTCATTTCACCATAAACTGTCCACAGCCAGGTGCTCCCCACAAGGTTTCAGACAGAGGAACATAAAGAATTATCAGAAGAGTTGTCCAAGAGCTGAGGAGCACCTGTGGAGAGCTACAGGAAGAGCTGGGAGTCAGCAGATACAATCGTTTCCAGTGACGAGGCCAACTGAAACTTTCTGAAGCTTGTATTAAAGACGGGGTTCACTATTCAAAGCTTTTTAATACGGCCCTCTTTGGTGGCATCTGGTGGCCAAAAACATGAAGAACAAGTTGAACTTTCATTG